TTTAGTCTTTAGTGGTTTTCTTTCTTCTCTCTCCTCTTGCTCTAGCAATACCTCTTGATCTGTTTCATCTACACGGCCTTTGAGTTTTACATGCCACATGGCCGAGGATGCCGCCACGAGGGGCTAAGCCATCGAGAACAGAATTAAGGGAGGCTTTGAAAGATCTCCATGAATTTCTTAACCGTAAACATGTTTCGATTAAGAGGCACGCCACTTACGCATTGGTACATCACTGAGCATCTTTTAAGATGACTGCCATCCCCCTGTCTCAGAGATGGAACATACTGAGTTAGCAGAGAAGAACTGGGAGCTTGGCCTACGTCCCTTTATGGCCCCTGGTATTGGTTAACCTTGCTAAGATGCAAATAAAGTAAACACGAAGTAAACAGCACCCACCAGTTACACCACTTAAAGTAGTCTATAACGGGGTTGTGTTCAGAACCCAGCACACACCTGTGTGACACAACATACACCTTAGGAGGTGGGAGGATGGAGATGGGAAGAGAAGACAATAAAAAGAAGACATCCCTTGGGGATGTTGCTCTGTGAGTGTGTCCTGAACAGAATGCATGTGACACAGCCCCCAACTCTAGGAAGGGTGAGATGCTCAAAACCAGACAGGTTTTTGCATCTGCCTCTGATCTACGATGCTCATGCAAATCTTGGTTACAAGCTTTCCAAGAACAGACAGCACACTTTCTTACAGCTTCTGGTATTTGAGGCACAGAAACTCGGATCAACCTGTAATCAACAGCCACACACCTTTCCATCTCTCCCACCTGCTGTCCCCTGACCTGGCCATCGTGCTACCCGGCAGTGAACCTTGCATTGTCCCTGATCATCAGCCAGACTCCCACCAAGTCTAAAGACAGAATGGGGTATGGGACAGGAGTGTGTTTTAAACACGACTTCGTGCGAGCTGCATTCCAGAGCAAGGTGCCAGCTCAGGTAGCTCGCAAATTATGGCACTGGCGATTACAATCTGCAATGATTGATGAGTGCGGGTTTTTTTTTTTTTCCTTCAGGAAGTAGTAGTAAGTAAACGCTAAGTAAAATGACTGAAGTAGGCATTGGAACACACTGCAAACAGATCATTAGGCTTAAGGGCTTACAATTACCATGAAGTGACAGAAAGGAGATAGGGACCTTTTTTAAAATTCCCACCCACCTAGACATTACCTGGTACTGTGAATGTACTTCTTCCTTGGGAGCATAATAAATTCTTTTTTTTTTAAGTCTCCAACTACACAGAATAAATGCCAACATTAAAAAAAATCTTATTGGGGGGTGGGAGATCAGCTAACTATAAAATATCAATATTGTGAGGGATATCCTTATACCCAGCTAGTAGTTTCTCATGGCAGTTCTGCAAAGTGGTTTTCACAAACCCAAAAGGGTGTTCCCTGCTTCTGAATAACATTGAGAGTTCTCTAATGAGATAAAGATGATTTCCTTCATAGGGCTGACCATAAAGACATCTGATAGGAATGGAAAGTGCCCAGTGGAGTTGACTTTTTTTTTCTTTTGCATCATGTCTAGACCCTCCAGCATTCCCTTCAACATTTGGAAATAGGCTGCTATCAGAACCCATTTTGAGAAAAGCATGCAACTTCATGAGCCTCTGAGCTTAACACACTTCCTTCTTCAGCCCTAACTTTTCTTTTCCTTCCTGGATATGAGCAGACTTTCTAATATATATAGAGATAGATAGATAGATAGATAGATAGATAGATAGATAGATAGATAGATAGATTTTTAAAAGACTTTTATTTCCTTAAGTGAAATTTTACAGTTCCGTAACTGAAGACGGTTACAAGTAGCTTAGTCATGAAATGATCATATTAGAAATAAGACGAACACAAATTAAAGAGGTTGACAGCTGTGTCAGTGACAGTATCAGAGATGATTATTTCTCCTTCAGCAGCAGGAGAGTCACACCACAATATAAAGCAAATATTTTACATATTTAAATATTAGGACACAGCTGACATTCTTGAATTAAAAACCAACAGCAACAACAACAAAACCCTGAAGTCACAATATTTCATTCTTTAACTCTGAGTTAAATGGAAGGACTGTGACCGCCTCAAAGACCTCTCAGGAGAGCTAGCAATGCTACTCCCAATACTTAGAACATGCTGCCATTTGAGGTTCATGTAAATTTTGAGACACGGAGGTTTGTTTTATTGATCATCCTCTGGGACACGCACTGCCTGGCCATCCCCACCTGAGAAGCATCCTTCAGTAGGCAGTCAGCCCTGCAGGAAACTGCAGAGCAGCACAAGTGGGAGGTACAATCCTTCTAGTTCTGAAATCCACTGCCATTTATCTCTTGACCATCCTCATAGACAATGAAACTGTTGCCTACTTAGCTATTTAACAACTGTGGACTAGCAGTCCGGACTGTTGAGCCTGCCCCTTCCTGTGGCTGGGAACACTGACGCTCGTCATCCTGAATCTAAAGCGTCAAGCTGGCCTGGAAGTTTTGAATATTTCTTGAAAGTTTCAAATAGCGTACCATAAAAGAATAATAATAAATAAGTAAGAGAGGACATGTAAGACATTAGCAGTATGAATCACCTAAGGCTGCAGTGATGCCTGAGCAACTTCTGTCCACTACACCTAATTTCCCATTCATAAAGACATTAGGAATTCTTTTCAAAGTCTAAATCAGTTTGAATGAAGAACTCTTTGATATCAGGTGAGCCAAATAGGATATAATTTAAGTCAATAGAAATGACCTACTTATTCAACAAAAGTTGCAAATAACTGAGAAGGAAAAATAAAAAAAGCAACCCGCATCCTGATTATTTATATATGTTAGCATCATTATCTAGTCTCTCTTTAGAGAGCTTCACTAGTCGACACTGCATCTATCTGCATGATATATCTGTTTAAGTGACAATAGACAAATGGGGAGAGGCAGTGGAAACAAACTGTCATGATATGCTGGGGTTTTAGGAGGTATTGCCAATTTCAACCTCACGGTAAATTATTTAAAATATTATAATGTCTGACGTTTTTCAAAATTATTTTAACTGCTAATTTTCCACGCAGAATGCACATCTGAACAAGCTAGTTGATTGTCAGTGGCTTATTTAATTATCCAGCTAAAAATGTATGCCCTGGATCATACCAAAAGAACATTAAAAACCTTACCAGGAGCAGAAACAAAACAATGTTAACAGATTTGAGCATTAGGGAATTAAAGGAAAAAGTTTGGCTTAAAAAAAGATAATTGAAAAATACAAATAAAGTTCCCAGCAGGCAGCTTGCCTATATGGAGGAGTAGGTGGTGCCTGTTAATATGTAACCGCCTCTTTATAAGAACAATCTGCTAACAGGTTACAAATCAGACAGAGTTTTATTTGCAAATAATAATAATAAATAATAATAATAACATAATTAGAATTAAGAAAAATTATCATTGATGTATTCATCTGCACATGTTGGGAAACTTACTCTGATCAATTAACAAATTGCTACATTAGGCAATAATATGTTTCAATGTGAACAACTTCCTTATCCACAGAGAAACAAGACTGTGTTTGCAAAGGAAAACTAACTAGTTAGAAGAGTTAATATGCAATACTTTGGAAAAATTAATTCAAAACTGTTCCGATAGATCCACCTTCTTAATTAAGAGGCAAGGGAGACGGAGAGAGGCGGTGTCACCACACACACATTACACATTTTACTTTCTCCCCTGGTCAGACAGTGGCTTCTCTAAAAATGTGACCATATCTAAGGCTTGTTTTCCTCTCCACACTTTTTCTCTCCCGTGGCTTCAGTTCTAAAATGTTTTAATCTTTGTCCTTTCTTTTTTCGTCTTTTCATATCAAATTCAGGCATTTGAGTGATGAACAGCTTGACTTAGCATATTTTTAACCAGCTGGTCTAGCACCTAGCTTGCATTGCATAGTCAGATACAACAAATGTTTATACAGAAGGTATAGCTTGCATGAAAATGAAAAAACCCTGGGTATCTTGCATCCTGGCTTTTTTTAGCTTTTTTTTTTTAATTCACCATACAGAATACGAAGTTTGAATTCTTTTTAATGGCAAACAAAAATCTATTTATAGTTCAAAAAAATTTGAACTTACACGAGGATAAGAACTCAAAGTTAAAAATTGTAATGTATAATTACAGGGACATGAGGAGGGCTAAAATTCTTTAAAAGCCCCCATGCTACTTGCAGCAACATCAAATGGAAGGGAACTGCACATACGTAAATAGGAACAACTAATTAAAGATACACTGACTCCCTCCCAGGGCTCAGAGGAAAGTGTAGATTATCAAAATTCAGCTAAGACAGTGAGCACAAAAGTAGCCACTAAACTTAAAAAGGGGGGTGCCTTGTTTGTTCCCTTCTTCCCCTCTTCAGACACCTCCAGAACCATCTACTAATATTTAACTGTGATGTTAAATTTTCTTTTGGGGTGGAGGGAGGGAAGCAACAGCCCGGCTCTCCCATATCAACAAAAGGTCCTGCTTTTCGGAGCAGTTTCCAAAGTTTAACAGAAGGATCAAACAGGAATTTAACAGCCTCCGCTTTAACCACCGCTGAAGCCTTGTGTCACTTCAGAAATTATAGGAGAAAGAGATCCTGAATACGCTAGCAGTCTACAAAAGGTGTGCGGGGGATCAATGAAGGCAGAAAGTGGGAACCTCACAGAGGAAGGAAGCAGCAGCAAAGGGGGGGGGGGGGATGAGGAGAGAGAGATGCTTAATGTTCATTTAATTTCCTGCCTGTGATCCGACGCAACCTAAAAACATTAGCAGTAAGCTCGGAGGAGACTTTGCAAATCAGTTCAATTTGGTCCGGGCAACCACAACAGAAATCAGCTCCCAAGGCTGCAGAGACCCAAGAGCTCAAAGCTGCGTTAACAACGCACACAATCTGGGGGAGGCATCTTCCACTGGATTCACAGACTACTGTGAAATGGAAGAGTTTGCACTTCAGTATATTAGGGGGGAAAAAAAAACAAACAGTACTCACCTTTCAAACTCCTGAGGTAAATCAGGGTCAGTAAGCATGCTGGAAAAGCACAATTTCCCTTTGTCACGGCGGCCACCTATGATCGGCTCCAACTGAACCTGTCAAGTCAGTCCAAACCTTCTAAACCAATGGATTCTCTTTCTGTCTCTTCTCACTCTCTCTCCCCCTCTCCCTTTCTCCCTCCCCCTCTCCCCCTCCCCCTTCCCCCCCTCTCTCTCTCTCTCCTAGGACTCCTTGACCATTCTCTTAAAGGGGTAGTACACTTCCAGCAGCGGTCTGGCGACTCCCCCTCTGCACAGCCGCACACTCCGACTGCTAGGCATTAGACAACCTCCGGGCGCCCGTCCTTTCCTCTTAATTCTCTCTCCTGGACATCACTGAATGATAGAAGTCAACTAGTCTCCCATGCTCTCTCTCTCTCTCTCTCCTCTAAATAATAAAAGTCAACACACACACACACACACACACACACACATGCAAGCACACCACCACCACCAGTATCATTGTGCAAAATACATTTGGGGCTGATTAAAAAATAACTTTGTGATAACGGAGCCCCAATCAAACTGTGAGTATTAACTAATTAAGCAAAATGATTACACATTAGTCACAGCATTTTTACACAAAGAATTGTTATTCCTTACTCCCCCCCCCCCTCTCTCCAAGCGCACACGGAAACACACAAGCATGGGTGTGCTCGCGCACGCACGCACGCACGCACACACACACACAGACACACTCACTCACTCACACACAACAATCAGGCATTGTTCTAAGGGAAGAAAAGCAACTTTGACAGATTGAAATATAGCAGAGGCCCCTTCAAGGAAACCTGTAAACAGGCTGTCACTCACTCTGTCGGGCTCAGTGCTAGCTCGCTTTCCACAAAGTGCTCTGAATGTCCTGGCAACCCAGGCAAAGTTTCTGTAGCTTCAAACTCCAGAAACCAGGCGTGGAGGAGAGCAGGTATCTGCATGCCAGACACAGCATGCAGGAGCGCAGGAAAATCTCAAACCCCAACCAGAAGATGGCCTGACCAGTCCAGTGTCCTGCTCCCGATGGCTGGGGAGCTCAGGCTGGTCAGTGCCGGTGTGCCCCCCAGCCCTGGGTCTCTTTAATTTCCTCCGTCCAGGCAGGCACAGATAAGCTGGGCAAACTCTGGCTCTCCAAATCCTAAACTGGCTGGCAAGGCACAGTCTCCAAAGCAGTTCAATTATCTAGATAAAAATCTGGCAGGCGAGGAAGGTAATCAGGTAATGTACCTTTGACATGGAATGACAGAGGCACCTACACAGGCACAAGGGGATGGTGGCTGTCCCCATGCACGGCAGCATCTGGCAACGGAGTAAGCACACACTCACCAACACAAGATAGTACGCTTTCTACACACACAGTCAGTCACACACACACATGCTCTCCACTCCTACTGGGAGGGTTCATTGTGCACAAAAGGCTACATTACAGAGCCCGCCCCAATAAGGGAGAGAGAGGGAAAAAAAGCCTTCCATTGTTGAGAGGGCAGGTCAGTTGATTAGATTTTCTGTGGAGAATTCCACGAGGAAATTCCCTTCAAAGCCGAAGTGATTAACTGGGGGCTACTCTGGAAATGGGAGAGACAATGGCTCAATAGTCCGCACACCCAATGTCCAGGCTGGCACTGAACTCACTTAAAAAAAAAATAAAAATAAAAGCCAGACTCTCTGTGCTTTTCCACAGGCTCCCCCCACCCCACTAACCCCCCTCCACTCCTTCCACCTTCCCCTCCCAGTCTCTTTTATTTCGCAGCTGGATAACATTAAGGGCCTTTAAAACCACAAGGGTTGACCCCACAGCAGTTTGATTAGGTCCCACTTTTTTTTTATCCTGGCGACAGGCAGACAGTAAGTTTACTTTTTCAGACATACACAATGACACACCATACACATATTCTGAGTGAAAAATCTCTGGTTGCTTTGCTCCCTCTGGAGTATTTACTCTTTATTCAGAGCTAAGAAATTTGGGGACAAAGTTGAAAATAACTTAATCATCAGACCCAGCATTCAGGAGAGATCTAGAAACATGCATACCCGCTCACATACACACACACACACACACACACACACACACTCAAGACGGAGTAGGCTTTGAGCATGTCACTATGGAGTTAAGACACTAACAAAACACTGAGTTAAGACCCACCCTGAAAGCTGTTAACAGGGATGTGTCAAAATGACTGGGTTCTCATTTCAGCAGTTGGGGAAGGGGAAGGATATTACTCATTATTTTTTTATGCCATTAGCCTCAAGTTATTTTTTATTACAACACCAACCTACTTCTACATATAAAAATGAGAGAGTCTTGGCATTTATCATAAATATCTATTTTTAATCCTTAAGAGACCCATCTCCTAATGCACTCTGATGGATAATATATATATATATAAAATAAAATTTTCTTTTCCTATTAATGATGGCCATAGGAACTCTACGGTTATATATGTTTTAAAATATTTCTTTTTCTTTCTTTCTTTTTTTTTTCGCTAACTAGTGAATACTGTTTTGTCTTGGATCGAGAGGGAAAACTGAAGCAAGATAAAGGGTATGGTAAAGGGGATCATGGGAACAGGGACAGAAGAGGAGACATGGTGGCAGCATAAAGCCAGGACTGAAGATAACAGCCATAAGGCGAGATGCTGTGATCCTGTGGTCCCAGCTGCTGTCTTGCTACAGCATCTACCACTGGCTGTTCTTTGATGCTCTAATCCTGAAGGTCGCAGCACAGGTAAGAAAGTGTTTTGATAACCAACTCTACTGTAACAAAAATGATCTTCTTTACCTTCTGTCGGTTGACACAGCCATGCTATGTATGCATACTTCAGAAGCATACAGATGTCAAATAAATACGAATAACATATGAGAAATTGCAAATTGGTTTGAATGTCTCTTTTGGATCTGAAACAAATTATTGAGTTTGGGGAGATCTCTCAGTGGGCAAGACTCTTGCTGTGAAAATGAGAAGAGCTGAGTTCAAACTCGCATGCGGAAGCCAGGAGTGGCCATGAGTTTGGGACTCACACAACACACACACACACACTTACTTTAAAATTATATATATTTATTTTTTCACAGTCATTTTGAGAGTTGGATTGAGACAGATTAAAAATCGAGAAAGAAAATGTGTCCCCTTGAAAAATGGCCAGCCCATCCTGACGGTGAGAATGAAGAGTTGGAAGACCGTCGGGAGCTCTGCTTGGGGAGGTTAGCACACATATGTTGCACAGCATAGGCGAGGCCTCTGTCTACACCACGAGCTCTGCCAGTGTTTACACGTGGGCACAGGGAGTAAAACCAGCTGCTGAGGAGTCCATTCCCCAGGTCACTTGTGTCCTCAGAAAGAGGAAGAAAGCCCCGAAAACATATAGCTGAACAGAGGCCCACTGATGGTGCCACTGTTGTGTGGGACCCTAAATGCTTTCAGGAAATTTCTACTCAAATTTAATTTATAAACTCTTGTCTCTCTAATAAAACTGTACTTAATATTTGAATAGTGTGTATATACTTGGTTTTTTTTCTTCTTCAAGAGAGGTCTCATGGGTTACGATTGTGGAGCCCAGCCTGTTCTTGAACTCACAATTCTCCTGCTTCAGATCCTGCTTGTTGAAATTACAAACACGATCTGCCAGGAGCTCATAATGAGTACTTTCAAAAAAAAAAAAAAACCCACCCATATCCCAAATATTTAGTCAAAATCTTCTCTTTGAGTACATCTGGTAATATTGATAACCATGTTAACCTGGTGTTTAAAATTAAGTATATTAATTTAAGAACATTGTTATTTTGTACTAAATGTTAACAGGCCTAAGTGTTTTATGACTATCACATAACGCACGTTAGATAAACTTATAATATGTTGTCAGTTATTTGAACAAGTGAAGACATTCAACTAGCTATATAGCTGACACTATCCTATTAAAATTGACATCATGATTGATGGACAACTAATTAGAGAAAATTTCACAATTTAAATATGTTATAATCTTAAGAGAGCACTCACATCTTAGACAACGATAGAGGCAGAAAACACCTGCCAATTCTCACAAATGTCTTGATTTAAAGGATGTTTACTCGGGCAGGCAACAGGCCTTAGCTATTGCTGTCAAACCTGACAAGAGGTCAATCCTTGGGACTCACGTGATGATGGGAAGAGAGACCCAATTCCCACTAGTTGTTGTCTGACCTCTGCTGTGACATGCTGTCACACACACACACACACACACCAGACATGGTACACAAAATCAACAAGTGAAAGTGTAATTAGCTTTGAGATAGTTATCTATTACAACTATTAAAGGAGTTGACCAATCTCATTCTTGTATCACGATGACAACACATTCTTCTCTTAATGTTGTCCTCTTTATGGATAATTTCTGAAGGTTTCTCTCCATCACGTCAATTTATTCCCCGATGCCCACCCGTATAATAGAATTTCTTTCTATCAAAATCATTTCATCCAGAAAAAAAAAATCTCAGTTAACAAAGTAAGACTAACTGAAGTTTACGCTGAATTTATACTGGATGAGTTTATGAAAAATCGTATGTTTTTCACTCAACACACACAATCCTTTCTCCTTGTGCCACAGGTAAGCTCTGTGTGGTGTCAGACAATGCGCACGCACAGGAACGAGTGCCAATCCCTCTGGTGGGAAAAGTCAGAACACTTCTGACTTTGAAGTGAAGAATTCACAGAACTCTCCAGAAGAGAAGCTACTCGTTTGTGGCCACACCTTTAATGGCTACCAGCATTCTACTTCAGAAATTTTCAGCCTGCTAAGAGATTCAGGGAACATACTATGCTGAAAGTTTACTTAGAAGCAGCAAAGGAGTTAATGGCAGCCCCATCCCAAACACCAGTGCTCTGGTTTCTCATCATTAGAGAATATCTACGCACTATGCTCTGTGTTTTATTATGTATATGCCACTCATTTTTAGAGAGGATCTTATTGCATAGTGTAGACTGACCTTCAACTGATATTAATCCTCCAGCCTCAGTGTCTGGATTACAGAAACACCACTGTACCTGGCTTTACACCACTTCTTTAGGGTAAC